TGGAAAGTTTGTGTGGGGGGGGGGAGATTTTCCAGCAAGCCCTCATTGATCTCCTACTTGTTTCAGATAAAGTAGAATTGGTTAGCACTAAATGTAAACAGGAGTACTTACGATGGATTCCTGCTCAAGTTATTCCTCCTGTAAGTCCAAATTGTACTGTTATTTAAATCCTGAAAAGAAGGAAGATGGCAAATACTACTGACGTTATAATGTACATTTTCTTAACCAAAGCATATCTCCTCATTTCTACAGCAGAATAACTACAGAAGAGTTTCAAAGGGAGACTTCAATGAAAAACTGCTCAGCTGGAATTCATATGCTAACTTGATAAGTCACTCTTGAATTCAGTAGGAACTGGGGTGCCTAGCTCACTACATCAAATAGTTGTACCTTGTTAGAGGTTTATGTACATTATGCAGGTCCATCCAACCATGCTAATTCATCAACATTTGGGAGTGATCCACACCCACTGCTGAGTAGGTTGCTTATTCTTTTAACTGGATCTTTTTTCATCTGTGCTCTGCAATATAATGTAATAACCTCGCTTGGGAAACTGAACTTTCTGACCTATCTTTCTAATAACTCTTCCTCCTCCAGCCTGTCTGCTGTTTGTAGCTTTCTGTATCTCTCTGCCACCTGAATGTAACATCTCATGCACTTGTCAATGCGGACCTTAGGGCCAAAGTAAAGGTTATGTTGTTTGATGAGTTGTGTCCAGGTTCTTCCCTACAGTCACACCACAGCTGCAGAGAATGTCATTTTAAAGACCAGAGGGAGCCCTTTTCCACTTGAACTGTGGTATGGGGGCAGGGGGGGGGGCTCCTGCCTTCCCCCATACCATTTTGAGAAGCTGAAATGGCCTCCAGCAGGGAGTTATTTATGTAATATTGGAGCAGCATGTGGAGCTTTTCCTCTCCCACACAGCAGTTTCTAGCCAAAAAGGGCTCCATCTTTAAAATGACATTCCTTCCAACTTCTGTGTGACTTGCCAAAAATCATAGTATCTAGTTTAGCCCTTAATTCACAAAAGAGTATGCTACTGTGAATTTAGCCTTTAAAGGTTCCATGAAATTCACTGTTATTCTGCATTTAGAAAACAGTTTAAGCCACTGTTAACCAGGTTGTCTGTGAACGCAGTTTACTGACATATTTGTACACACTCCCATTATATGTGAATAATCCCAGTTAGAAACCAACACAGGTTCAGTTACCTGTGGCACACATATGTAGGTGCATGAGTTAACCAGATTTAGTTCAGCACCACCAAACACCCTTAAACCAATATTCTAAACCTGGATCAAATGTTGGTTTAGAATCCTACTCAACTTGAATGTTCCTGATTTTAATCTCAGTTTGGATAAATCAGTACAAATGAGCAAGGGGAAAAGATAAATGCAAAAATACAAAAGGTAAGAAATTTCCTCTCATCCTTAGAACTGTTTAATCTCATATTCCCAGGAATAAGTAATTACTGGGAAGTTAGAATTTTCTCGAATCATACAAAGTTCTTCAGTGTAAGTCAGTCACTTAATTTTCTTAATGGCCAGTTTCTTAACCCAATTTTTTCATATACATTCCCATTTCATGATTCAATAGTTTAATGCCATTTTATTAATCTTCTCTGAGGGTTAAATGGTTAATTACTTATTTCTTCCCCAGCATTTTCTGTGCCTGCATAAAATGAAATTTTTTAGTTCTCAAGAAAAAGTCTCTTCACACCAGTGTTTCACTGTGTTAAATTAGTGTTAAATTCAGAACAATTGACTGGTATAGATTCACAGACTTGCAATATGTCCTCAAACATTACCTCTTGTGATTGCCTCAAATAGTCACAAATTTGCACTGTGTGTTTAGCAGTTCCTTGATTTTTCATTTTCTGATGCATGCAACCGATATGATCCAAATCTAGCCAAGTAAACAAACACAGCAAGAACACATATGAAATGACAAGAAAATGAACTTTTGCTTCAAAACAAATAAAAGCATCTGTATTAAATGTGTAATCCATTCTGAGTAGGGCTGTTCCTATTCTGTACTGTAAAAAAAACAAACTTCAACACCAATCACTCTAAATACTATGATAAAGTCAAAATCAAGCATCACTCAGAGGAGCAGGAAGAAATTTATTGTAATTTCTCATACATGAGGCTAATTACTGCATTTCAAATAGAATATCTACCTAATCAAAATAATTTTTCTACCACTATGCACCATAAGATTTCATTAGATTAACAGTTATTGTTTGCTCTAGAGAGAGCATCCTTTCTTTTGGCTCCTTTACATTTGGAGACTTACCTATAACCTACCACTGATCACCTGAATATGCAAGTATGACTCCTCTATTAGCAAAGTTTGACCCACGTTTTTCCTCATCATTGGCCTGTCTTTTGCTGTTACTGAGGCATGTCACTGCTGTATTTGCTAGCTCCTGAGCAATTACAATTCACCACAAGAACTTTAACAACCTCATTCTGTACTTTGTTCTGTTTGTTTACAATCACTGCTTGCCATTGCCGTGTTTGGCACTTCATTGCTTGCTTAGAGTTACATACCTAGCTGATTGAAGCTGGGCATGGTTAGCCTGTCGGTCCTCTTTTCTTGTTCTTCTCTCAAAAACCTATTGTCAAATGGTTCTGAACTAGCTTGGGTGCCCTGGGGACAATCATCTACTGTTATCACCTGTCATGAGATAGGAGAAAATAATGATCAGCATCACAAGACAGGCAGCTGAATCTGCTAGCAGAAATGGTGACATAATCCTTTCAACAACTTCAAAAGAAATTGTCTCTGGTGGGAGGGTCATACAATTGTTTATAAATCATGAGTCAAGCTTCAGCAGTAACTAGAAGAACAAAATACAAGGGTAGCTTTTATTGGAAGTCTAAGCCAAGATGCTAATAAGGGTGAGGTCTGAATAATGTAAGTAGTTTGCTGACCAGTTAGTTCACTAAGCAGCAAAGGAATTACAAAAGGAAAGAGAGGGTTACAACTCTGCAAGAATAGCTTATATGGGCCCAGTATACAATATAAGACAACTGGAACACTTGAGGGTGTGTGACTGAACAACCTGCAGAATTTATACAAGTTATACTTCTGCTTATAAATCATACATCTGAGGATACATTAGAATAAGTAACTGTGCATACAAGGATGGATTCAGACTGAATTTTCCAGTGGCAGAATGGAACTTTTATGCTTCTTCGTCCCACTAATCTTAATATAATGCTGCTCCTGGGGGACAGGGAACCTTGAAGAACATCACGGGGGAGGTCTGCAGTGAGAAGGGTTGGAAACTGCCTATTTAGTCTGGATCCAGCCCAGAGAAAGCACATTTTGTCTATATGGGGGGAAAACCAGAGGGTGCTAAATGCATAGAGTGTGCTTGCATATTACAGATTTCATTTAGAAGTGCCTACCTTTCCCAGAATTATGCTTTTTGACTCAAGAATGTCAGATTAACCATTTGGTTTATAGTCCAAAGATTTTGAACATGAACTCCGCAAAATCAACGGGCTGAAAACTATACCCATAAGTCATCTACCCCAGAATACTGCCCCCAAAAGTATTTTTAATGGAATGCTACCGATTTTCCTTGACAACATCTATGGAAAAGGTCTCACAAATTCTGTGTTAGGGCTTTAGCCTTTAATAGATTAAGAAATATGGTTAATTAGCTGAAGTTTTAATTGCAAATACAAATTTGGACCCCAGTTCCTTAAGAGAGCTGACACTGAGTCAAAATTTCTGAACCTGGGATTCATGACAAGCCCCTCACTATCCAGGACAAATGATATGTTGAATTCTATCCTCCCTGTGCTAAACTTGGTGTGTGTCCCCCCCCCATCTGTAAATATACAGTTCTTCAGTTTTGTACTCTAATCTTAATCTTCAATTTTCAGATACTGAATTCCTACTATTTCACTGATTACAGTTGTACTCAATCCATACTTATCTTAAGTTTCAAAGACAATGAAGTTTAAAACAAAAGAAGAAATTGGTGCTAGGAACTGAGTGATTTCCAGTTTATGTTTAATTGGCCATGGCAGCAAAACTTAAAAATTAATTTAAGATGATTTTTCACATTAACCTCTAGACTTCTCTAATTATTAAGATAAAAAAAAGAAAAATAAATGGAGAATCTAATTGTACCTGAACCTACCGGCACCTGAAGAGATTTCTGTTTCTTTTTCCAAGATTTCCTGTCTCTGCTTCCAAGTTTTGCTTTTGCCCAGACTGATTTACAAAGCTCAGTAGATTTTGATAGTTCTGAGAGTAAAAGTAAAAAACAAATTCATATTTCAAAGACACTTCCAACAAGTTTCTATTTTGAAATAACTTAGTTTTTACATCAAGCCTGTGAACCACCGTAACATCATCCATGACACATGCAATCCGGATATTATGATTAAATTTGTTTTATAAAAACAATGATAATCAAAATACATTTTTGTGTCACTGGGTTCCACATGGTATCAAACAAATCTTTGATTACACACACACAAACACACACAATAATACATCTTTCATTTGATAATAGGATAAATGTTGATATATGCATCCAAATCAACAAGTTTAAATTCATTAGCAGCTAAACAATCCCAAATTCTTTCCCATTGAAACTCTAGGTCCTATTCAGGAAGTATGTCCTACATTCTTAAAGAAATTGTATAACTTTGTGGGGAGGAGCATATATATATAGTGCTACGATATTGCAAAATTGGAACCTTTATCAAATACCAGGCAATTACTGAGCATGACTAAGGCCGTATGCCTGTAGCTAAGAGAAGGTTGAAGGTTCCTTGTGAAAAGTGAGTTTCAAGCAATGTTATTGCCTTTTATTTTGCTGGTCTTCTCCACTTTCTCAGCCTTGTGGGACCAAAAGCTACTTCCCTTGAAGAAAGTGCCATTTTTCCTACGTGGATTGATCCAGAATGAGGTGTTGCACTGGAACGGGAGATGGGAGTGTGAGCAATCGGTACCATATCTGTCAGAACTGTAGGAGCACGATTTGGATTCCTTTAACTTCACATGCTGCAAACTACAGTTGTAGTCCTTGTTGAGGGCAGAATGCATGCTGGATGGCTGTCTTGACTGGCTGCTAAAGCCACTCTTTTCATCCTCTTCTGCAAACCCCCAATTCACGTAACCTCCTCCTGGTTCCTCATGCTGGTGGTGAGATAGTAGAGAGATGTTGCTGACAATGCTAGGAGTTTTGGCAGCTAAATAATGTTTAGCTATGGTTTCACCACCTTTCTTGGCTGACAGAAAAATAACAGAGTCCAGTTCCTGCCTTTGATGGATAATGGGCTCTCTTTCAACAATATCAGTACTGTGTACATTCAGATGAGCAGTAGAGCTGAAATGCTTGTTGTGGGGTTTGGCTCTCAGTTCATCTCCTCTGAGCTCATTCAGAGTACTTGAAAATGACGAACTCAAGCCAGCATCTTCAAAGAAAGAGACTCCAACTTGCTGATCAGAAGGAACCAAAAGAAATTGTCCATGTCTAGGAGCTGATTTGCTCTCTGAAGATACCCCAGAGATTAGAGTGTCATTTTCTGTCACCTGTTCCTGATGTTTGTCTATTGATTTAATCTCATTGTAGTCTATTGCATCAAGATCATGATGACTCTCGGAGGGCCACTGGTTCCTTGCCAAGCTTCTCAGGAAGGAAGGTGGCACACTGAAGTAATTGTACTTTTTATCATTCAGACATTCCAGACTGCTGAAAGCCTTGGAATATGTGACATTACTCCAGCTATGGGGAAGCTTTCTATAGCTTTGGTGCTTTGTATCAGCAAGAAAAGCCTCTTCTACTTGCAGCGTGTCCACAGCTGAAATTACTTTCAGAGTATCAACAGTTAAAGCAGAGAGGTCTTGTAAATGTCCCAGCTGACTGTCTAGTGCAAGCAAAGCATCTTTGATGTAACATACTTTCTCGTGTACCTCCTTCAGCTGCAAAAACATCTCTTCAACTCTAGGAGAAAAGATCGATACATAGATATATTAAAATAGAATTTATATACATTATTCACTGTATCAATGGAGCTACTTTTTTCATTTTCCCACTGGTGCAGTTAGCCCTTTCAAAAATTAGACAGAAAGATATAGGACTGGATCTCATTAACTGCTAATGTGAGGAACTCATGAAGATGATCTTCCATACTTCCCCCTTCCCTCAGCTAGTGAAGAAATGGGAGGGCTGAAAATGTAGCCCATCCTACTGCTTTACCACCACCTCCTGTACCATACTGAATTTTGTCTACAAGAGCTCCACCACTGGTAGCATTAGTTTTTCAGGGGTCACAGAGTATTGAAGAAGTGCTGTTAGTGTGTGTTCCTTATGCTCACAGTTTGTAGGCTCCAAAACAAAAATATGCTTAAATTGGATAACTTTTTGCGCTTTTCCAGCTAAGTTCCATCTACTTGAGAACGTATAGTAGTCAGTTAGCCAATATCCTTTTTAACAGATTTTCAGAACAACTAATCTATTAGTCAAAATGGTTGACACTATAGTGACTTTCGTATCTATTGCTCAAAAATCAGCCTGATACAAATCCATGTCTAAATATAAACAGATAGCCCTGGCTTGGAATTCTAGAAAACCCATATATGAGTTTCTTAGAGGAATGGAAAGAATATACCAGTATAACAAATAAAGTATCAATCATAGCATATACAGTATATATACAATGATTAACAGTGTAGATTACAAAATGTATATATTTTTAAAAAAAATTAAAAAGCCATTAAAACCTACTCAGCATAGCAGCATAAAATAAGCAGTTTAAAAACATGTCTCTGAAAACAATGCTCAGGTCAGCAGTGTGTACAATAAAAATGTTGTTTACAAGACCAACCCCTTAATTAAAAGCCTGGGTAAATAACTCCCCTCCCTTTCTATTTCTTTTAAATAATGGATTTATTGCTTCTAAGTTCTTGTTTTATTTTTTAATACCTGACTGCAGTTTGACACTTGTCTCCAACTTATTTTTGCATTTCTTGATCTATGAACTGCAGTAAAACAAATATTGGTGCAGGAAGAGACTTCCTACCTTTCAGTTGTTACACGGATCCTTTCACAGTCACTGGAGTATAGATGTTCATTCTTCTCATGGAGGTAATTTTCCACACACTGCTCTTCAAAATCATGAAGTTTTTTTAACTCTGCATCACTCAGATAGAGCTCTGAATAATTACATTAATAAGTGGTTATTAACAACACTGTGTCACATTATTTCTTAATCAAAGGCATTGGAGGAATATGCTTTCTGGGCTTTAGTGAATTTGAACCTGAGTTGTAACTTTTCACATGTATAAAGACAGAAGAGATGTGTATGATCAGCATTGCAAACTAAAAGGCATTTATATAAGGCCAATTCATGTTTCCATCTGCAGATGTGCATTTGAATATTTCTAGTCCAAATATATATCCAAAAACAACCTTAACAGTATTTTGGGGTATATTTGGGTATCCAAAGCAATATTCAAGATTCGTGGAATACCTGTAAATAGATTCCGAATATTTCCATGAAAATCTGGAGACATCCGGGTCTGTCATTTTAAGGCTTCCGGGCCTGTTTTTCTTCCATTTAACACGTTTCCAGGCCAATGAGAGGGAGTGGGGAGGGAGGCAGCTCTCCCAGGCAATGAAATCAGATGTTGGGGGAAGCACTGTTTGCGCAATCACAATAATTATCTCTCAGCCCTCCATGGCTCTGAGTATTGGCAAATAGGACAAAAAGCTGGCCTTGCTGCAGCTTGTCTCAAATTCAGGGCGAGATCTTTTGGAGTGGTATGCTGCGGCTGCTCTGATCTATCTGTGCCCTGGATTTATTCTGCTGCCTACTGCTGCCTGCCTGGGAAAACCTTTGTTTTGTGCCAGGACTGCTTTGCCTTTAATTTTAAAATATTATTTAAAATGTTATTTCAAATTTTCTGTGGTTTTTTTGCCTGGAGGGTTGTAGTTGGGGGGGGGGGACATTGATTCAGTTAGCCAAGAGATCATCTATTTCTGAACTGTATGTAATAACCGGAGTAATTATTAAGGTCCCTGCAATGGTGTATTTTCAGTCAGTTTCCACAGGGTGGTGCTGCCTTATGTCCATAATGTCTTCGATGTTTTCCTAAAAATTGTTTGTTGCTGATGATATTACATTTGTCGCCAAAAAACCCCCACAGTAATGGAACTTTGAAAGTTTCAGATTATTTCTCACAACCCCCTCCCTTAAGAATTCATGATTGATCCACTGCTGTAATCTTATGATTAATGCGGATATATAGTTGGTCTATCTCTAGTCCAGTATTGTGTTTCCCACCACTGGAGCCCACCGGATACCTCTGTGACGCCTCTAAAGGAGAAAAGACAACAGCCTTCCCTGTCACTTCCCCCTCCATACCAACAATTGATATTCAAACATGCACAGTCTGAATATAGCTAACAGCCAATTACTTTCTTGATACCTCCATGAAATCATCTACTTCCCTTTTAAATATATCTAAGGTAACTGTCATCACAATATCTTGCAATGACTTCAAAAAGTTAATTGTGCCTAGCATTTGTTAGAAATCTACTGTCCATGAGTGTCATTGTGCTGCCCTGAGTTTTAGGATTCCAAAACAGGGAAACAATGTTTTGTCTATTCTTCACACCATACATTATTTTTATAAACCTCTATCCTGTCTCCCTTTAGTCATTTTTCTACATTTAAATGACCCAAACTCTAGTTTTCTCTCCAATGACCATTTTTGTTGCTCTTTTATACACCATCTCCATGATATCCTTTTCTGTGGTGAGGGACTAGAATTCCAAATGTGGCTGCAGCACAATTTATAATACTAGCAGTTTTATTTTCAGGCCTTTCCTAAAAATGCCTAGCATGGAAACTCAGTTCTCTCTTTGTATAAGAAATTACAGGAAAGTCCACTCTCTCCTTACTCAGTTCAACACCTCTCTCTTCTTGATCAAATTCATTTGGTGGCCGACGGTGGCAGAGGCATTTCAGAAAAAGGCCAGTATAGCTCAGAATGATGAAAGGTGGAGGCAGCCATGGCTTTTCATGGTAGGTCATTATGTAGCGGTAACGGTTGTATTTCCAGAGCTTGTTTGATATGGATTTCATATCAAAATAAACATTACTGTGGGTGAAGATGGAAAAGATGAGTGGGAAAGTGGGGGAAGAGAGAAGATGATAAAGTAAATATTTAAGATTCTTTTTATTTAACAAAACTTAAATGCATAGTGCTTAGTTGCCAAAGTTTTACAAATCTTCCTATAGAACGTGAGCAACAATTTTCATGAAATATCAGTAATTATGTTTATAAAGATTTTACAAATGTATTTTAAAATTAAACATGTTCAAAATAAATGCTAAATGCAGCAAATTATAACAGGTTGCCAACTTTGGGTTGGGAAATTCCTGGAGATTTGGGAATGGAGCCTGGGGAGGGTGCGGTTTTGGCAGAGGAGGGATCGCAGCAGGAGAGTTGGTTTTTATACCCCCCTGTTCTCTACCTGAAGGAGTCTCAAAGCAGCTTACAATCACCCTTTCTCTCCCCACAACAGACGCCCTGTGAGGTAGGTGGGGCTGTCAGAACTGTGACTGACCCAAGGTCACCAGCTGGCTTCATGAGGAGGAGTAGGGAATAAAACCTGGTTCTCCAGGTTAGAGTCTGCCACTCTTAACCACTATACCACACTGGCAGGGTATAATGCCATCGAGTCAACCCTTCAAAGCAGCCCTTTTCTTCAGAGGAAATGACCTCCATGGTCTGGAGATTAGTGGTAATTTCAGGGAATCTCCAAGCCTCACCTGGAGGTTGGCAACCCTAAAATTATATGACCAATCTCTTATGGCCTAATGAATTGTTCATGTGCAACAGTAGTTCATAGGGCTGAACATAAAAACCATAGGACAAGCACATGCATATATGCCAACATAATCTACTATTTACTATTTTCTTCTCCTTCCTAGGCTACAGCTGTTTCAACACCAGTCAGCTAGCTAGCTTTGTGGATAGTTTCTACATGTTCCACCTTACTGTCTTTAAGCAGTTCATGGCAGCTTTGCAACATTCCAAGTCAGAGCAACAGAACACTTTCAATTTCAGCCACTCTCCTACACTTCTGAAAGTCTCGGGATCAAAGTAGGCCCTAAAACTAACCAAGAACTAGACAAATATTTGTTATTTCTTACACATTCTAACTTTGCCATGAATATTGCAGAGAGGGACTTTTTTTGAAAATAAATGTGCAGCATTAGGACACAATAGTTTAAGGCTTCCCCCACAGGGTTGCCAGCCTCCAAGTGGGGCCTGGAGATTGCCCGCTTTTACAACTGATCTCCAGCTGACTGAGATCAGCACCCCTGAAGAAAATGTTTGCTTTGAAGGGTGGACTCTGTGGTATTGTACCATGTTGAGGCCCCTCCGCTCCCCAAACCCCACCCTCTCCTGGATCCACTCCCAAAGTCTCCAGGTATTTTCCAACCCAGACCTGGCAATCCTACTTCCCCATTATCTCTAAATAGCTTTAAAAAAAAGAAGCACAAAGTACCATCCAAAAGCAATCTCCCTAGAAGTCAGGCTGCTGGTTACTTTCAGTAGATGCTTGCTAACATGTTTGTAATGTGGGCACCTAACCCCCCAATGGGGGCAGGGGGTTACCCACTTTCAGGGGGCCCAATCTGCCACCACTCAGCTAGCCAGTGGGGGAGCCCTGCCCCCGAGCAGCCCCGTCCACGCTGACGTGCCCAGTGCAATGATGTCATTGTGCAGGGCACATTGCAGGGATGCTCTAGCATCTGAGAAAAACTCGATGGTAAGCAGGATATCCAGCAAAGCGGGCTGGAGCCCCCCACCAGCAACAGGTAGGGACCTGGCAACCCTATGCTCAAAATGGTGGTGTATAACCAAGCTTTTTGCTGCACTGTGGCTCAAAAATTATTTAAGAAGAAATGCCAGTGTCCACATCTTTTGATTTGTCTTCTACCAACCACAGATGACTTTGAGGTTTAATGCAGGGTTCAAAGGCAGATTGTGAGAAACTACAGAGAGACAGAAACACTTGAATTGAATTCTAGTTTGTTTTGTGAAATCTATTGACCTCAGTCTGAACTGGTTGCTTGTTGCACAGTGCAAAGACACCGCTATGTGCTACTCACACCATAAATCTATGCAGATGACAATTGCCAGTTGCAGGTGTTTTAAATAGGTAGCATGCATACATGGCCTGGGACAAATTCACTCAGTTTTTAAGTCTTTGTCAGAAAGTTGGCTTTCTATTTAGTTCTCCTTTCTGGGATAGATCTTCATAATACAGTTCATCTTGTTGAAACACTAGCAACAAACCCCTGTTAAAACATTTTCATTACTCATTAATTATTCTTGGTACTTACTTAAAGAAAGCAATAAGAAGATTGACCATAATTATATATTGTACAAATAGGTAGACTGCCTGAAGGAACGGTGTAAGGAAGGAACCTGGAGGGCAGTCTGGACTTAATTCACAAGCTATAAATTAAAAAAAGAAAAGCCTGTGTATGTAAAAATGGCATAGGAATGATAAGCTAATGAATAATACATTCCTTCTTTGACGGGTAAGAGCTTCAGTCTGTATAAAAAACTGATAAACCTTCACTGCCTAAATACTAATGAATCATTAACAGAAGTAAATGAAGCTTTCCTAACATTTTAACATTGTCTTCTTTTTTTACCTACCCACCATAGCGAAGGCAAGCTTTCACATATACAGAGTCAGATTTAAAGGACACCTGAGAAAATATGAGGTTGTGTTTTTGTTTTTGTTTTAAAAAAACCCACCTAAGTGTTGGACCCAATAAGCTTTTCTGCTGATTGAAAACAAAGGGGGGGGGAAATCCCCTTTGACCACCAAAAGATCTGTGCTGGGATCATGGGACACACACATACAAAAGCCATGTAACACAGAGGCTGTAGTATGGATGGGAATTTGAGAATCAGTAAAAATGCTAGCTGGATCCAACCCAAGCTCTTGAAGTCTATTCTAATATGCATTAAATATGTTTAAATAAAAAAACTTTTGGGAGCCTATGACTTGATGAGGAAACCCTACATTTTATAGCACAGAGCTTTCAATAGTGTGTGAAAGACCACAGCAAAACGGCAACAAACATACTTTCAATGCAGACCATCCAAACTCCAGTTCTTGGCATATCTAGTTCAAGGGCCTCATGAACAGGTGCTGGAAAATCTGCCTCTGCCTAAGACACCAGCGAACTGCTGTTAAACACTATCAATACAATCTGGATGGACCAACATAATATAGCGTCATACGATACCTGTCCTCAAATGTTCTAACTAACTGGATTGAAATTGGCACCACATTTTGCACACCTTTTAAAAATTCATATAAACTTTTCATTAACCGTAAACATCAAACTGTATAAGCAGACCTACCATCAATTTCTCCTGCATACACTTCGCCAAACATCATCCAATAAGGTTGAAATACAATATCTCGTGCCAAAGTCCATGATGGCTGTTCATGAGGTGAAAGTATCGCTTTCCGAGACACACCAAAACTCAACAATACTATGGCCATCATAATTACAATATAAAACATGTTCGCTGTCTGAAGGAGAAAGAAAATTAAGCATGGTCATCAGAATGGTGTGATTTCCTGTACCAAGTGTTTCCTGTACCATGGGAAATGCTAATGGTTTGGAATTTAATAAACTTGATTGGACAGCTCAAAGAGAAGCAAAGTGAAAGTGTTGTATGGTAATATCACATGTCCCTAGTTACGTTAGTGGGACTGATTTAAGTGAAAAGGAATAGAACCTAATTATCCATCATGGATCTTTGGCACAATGCAAACAAATATAAAAGGAATAGTACAAGAATTGAACTGTTTCTCTATGCAAAGCAGTTTTTAAAGCAGTGTTAGTCTTGTAGGTCAGTGTCAAAATTTCATTCCAGAGGCAGCAAATAATGTCAGAAATACTACAGACAGAGGAGGAGGACTTCTTTCTCCATTTCCCTTATGGTAAAGACCATGTATGTCACTCCACAAAGATGAAGACAAATTCATGAAAGATAATTCTATCAATGGCCAATGGAACACCAACATTCTAAGTTAGTAGAGTCTACTGACTGCCAGATGCTGGGGACAAAGCACAGGGAATTTAAAGCTTCCAGAGGCAATGAGCTGGTTCTTTTCTGGTAACAAATAGCAGTAGTGTTTCCACCTTCCTGCGGCATGGCTCCTTGACCATGCCAAGACAAATTTAGCATATCAAAATTCAATAGCCAAATGTGACCTGTTGAATTTCTCCCACTTGTGTAGTAAAGGTGCCCTACCGGTAGGGAAAAAAGGCAACATCATTAAGAAAATGTTGCCTTCTAGACAAATACTTACCATTTTCCCTATCATTGTTAGATATGGTCCTGCATGCTGATTCACAGCAAAGAAATCAAGGAGTCGGACAAACCAGAATATTATGTCCAAGCAGTAGATCAACCTTCCGGCTGTATGAAATGGAGGATTTGCCCAGCGCAAGCCAAAACCAGTCATAAATAAGATGATAGCAACAGAATCTGTAAAGTTCCAGTACTCATAAATCCAGACTTTCACCTTTTGGCTGAACTTTCCTGGTTCAGAAATGAATACCTAAGGGCAGGGGAGGAAATCACTTGCATTTGTAAATGACAAATGTGAATGATATTACGTATTTTTGTAGAAATTATCCTGATAGAAAAGCCCTACATCTTTACTGTTCACAAACACATTTAATGCAGAGGACTATATACATCATTTCCCCTCCAATTCAAGATGTGTACCCTCAGGGCTTTACAGTAACCTTGGATTCCTTAGTATAAGTACTAATATATTGCATGTCCCATCCATTACAATTGTTAATTTGTTCTCTTTTTAAAACCCATCTTCCAACTTTCTACTGGATATTTATCCAGATCTAGTGGATACACTCTTCTACGCTTCTGAGGAATTAAGCTCTGCGACATTTTCTGCACAAACGGGTCTCCCCACTCCTGCATTTGTATTCCTCCGCCTCTTTCACTCATTTCCGCAGAGGTATTTGCAGTCCGACATGCAAAAACGCAGTTTGTCCTCTCTTGCAGCACAGCATCAGACTTCCCCGTTTCTGGGAATTCCCTTGCTGCGCCACAATTTCTTTTCAATTGCAGCCCTATCCTGACCTTCCACCCTATGGTTACTCACACCTAACTGCTTTGCTAACTAGTACTGAATAGCAACACCTTGTACTACAGGGATCTGCAAACACAGCCAGTTATCAGAAGAAGTTTTTTATACCCCACTTTTCTCTCCTTAAGGAGTCTCAAAGCAGCTTACAATAGCCTTTCTCTTCCTCTCCCCACAACAGGCACCTTGTTAGGTAGGTGGGGCTGAAAGAGTTCTGAGAGAACTGTGACTGGCCCAAGGTCACCCATCAGGCTTCATGTGGAGGAGTAGGAATCAAACCTGATTCTCCAGATTAGAGTCCATCACTCAACTACTACACCATCACAGAACCATGGAATCACAGACTTGGAAAGGTCCATACAGGCCATCTAGTCCACCCCCCTGACCATGCCATCTAGTCCACCCCCCTGTTCAATGCAGGGTCAGCCTACTGACCATGTTGGTTTTCAGTAGCAAAGGTCACTGTGTAGTCCTGCCTTCTTTTTCTGCAGGAACCCCTTTCATGTGATCTAGACCCTGGAGAATTTTGATAAATTATGTAAAGGTTTGGAGAGGCCTGCTGTGAACCATTTATTAAAATTGACTTTTAAAAATAGTTGCTTTGACCTCCCTTTGGAACTGTTTTAGTATTTTTTAATGTATGAATATTTTGGGGGAGAACTATAACTATAGTTTAACTTTGGCGTTCCAGGATGAAAGCCAAATGAATTGCTCATATTTACAGAAACTTTAATGTAACATTGTTAAAAGTGATAACAATGATAACATTGAAAATCAAAAGAGAACTTCTTTAAGTTGATCCAAATTTTCACATGAAAGGAGTCTGTGATTTCTGCTGGTTTACCACTTGATTATCAGTCTACTCCTTTCCTCAGCCATGACCCTCAGGGTCAGCATCTCAGATAGCAGGGGACACTGTAGAAGACGGAGACATACAGAAAAGCTCATTCCACAAGCAGAACAGAGCTTGCATTTCATAGAATCATAGAATGTTAGAGTTGGAAGGGACTTTGCAGGTCATCTAGTCCAACCCCCTGCACTCTGCAGGAGCATAGCCGAAAGAGAGCCCTACAACATACCCGAAAGATGGTTGTCCAGCCTCCGCTTGAAAACGTCCAGCGAAGGAGCATCCACCACCCCCTAAGGCAGTCTGTTCCACTGCTCAACCACTCTGACATTTAGGAAGTTTCTCCTGATATTTAGCCGATAACGACTCCCTTGTAATTTCCACCCATTAGATCTAGTCTCGCAATCCGGAGCAAGAGAGAATAGTTCCGCTCCATCTTCTACATGACAGCCCTCCAAATACTTGAAGGCTGCAATCATGTCCCCTCTAAACCTTCTATTTTCCAGGCTAAACATATCCAACTCTTTCAGCCTTTCCTCATAAGACTTGGATTCCAACCCTCTCACCATCCTGGTTGTCCTTTTCTGGACACGCTCGAGCTTGTCAACATCCTTCCTAAAATGTGGTGCCCAAAACTGGTGAAGCCTGACCATAGCAGAATAGAGCGGAACTACCACCTCCCATGATCTGGACACAATGCTTCTGTTAATGCATCCTAAGATTGCATTAGCTTTCTTCACAGCCACATCGCACTGCAGGCTCATGTTTAGCTTGTGATCAACCAGAACACCCAGATCCCTTTCACATGTGCTGCTGTCAAGCCAAGTCCCTTCCATTCTATATCTGTGCCTTTGATTTTTTGTACCTAAGTGTAGGACTTTGCACTTATCTCTATTGAAATTCATTTTATTTGACTCAGACCACTGTTCCAGCCTATCTAGAGCCTTTTGAATCCTGACTCTGTCTTCTTCAGAATTAGCAATCCCACCCAGCTTCATGTCATCTGCAAATTTGATAAGCATCCCCTCTATGTCTTCCTCCAGGTAATTTATAAAAACATTGAACAACACCAGGCCTAGGACCGAGCCCTGTGGCACTCCAGTCGAGACTTCCCCCACGTAGATGCAGAGCCATTTACGAGCACTCATTGAGTACGGTTTTTCAACCAACCATGAATCCATCCAATGGTTGCACTATTCAGCCCACACCTAACCAGCTTATCCTCAAGGATATCATGAGAAACTTTGTCAAATGCTTTACTGAAATCTATATACACTATATCCACAGCATTGCCAGAGTCAACCATTTTAGTAACTCTGTCAAAAAAGGAGATAAGGTTGGTCTGGCATGACTTATTCTTGATAAACCCATGCTGGCGACTAACAATTAACTCATTCCGTTCAAGGTGCTCACAGACAGAGCGTTTAATTTCTTTGGCTCCAACCCAGTTTCACATGAGCACAAGTATAAAACTTGTGAATAATTACAGTATCATTTTTTATAAATTTCTTTCTTACTTAAGAACATAAGAACGTAAGAGAAGTGAATTTTTGTTAACAGATCCTAATCCCACATTCTTCTGAGAAGAAATTTCAGACATCCCTAACAGCCTGCCAAGAGACAAGGGGAGGCAAGGGGTGGCAAGACCACTGGAGTTTTTGGGAGATTTTAGACCCGTTGGGAGATCAGGAAAATAAGTGAATTTTGGGGCACAAAATCAGGAAAACATTTATTTGACTCACTTTTCCATAACATGCGAAAAAATGTAGTAAAACAATATTAAGGTTTCGGCATCTGCTACAGTTTGAATTGCATAATTCACTCATTCCTTAAAGACTCTACACTCAGCGAATCGTTACAGCTCCTACCAAAATGTATTTCTGCTTTTGGTTTAGGGTGCAACTGGTAGACATGTGTGTTTAAAAATATAAACTCGAGTTTTGGTGGCATGGAAAGGTTGTAACCTTTGATAAACTTTGCATAAGCCCCAGAAGGCATGGAAACAAAAACAAAACAGCCCTTATAAGTGCAGTAATAAATTTCGTTTACTTAGGTACAAAGAGAAAAGAACATATCCTTCTCTTTTGCCAAGGGCATGCCAATCCTGAAAAGGAAGTTTTGGAAATTGAGAAGTGGAAAATGGCAGATTATTTTTTCAACAAGAAAGTGCCCTAAAGGGCTTTTTCAGCTTTGTTAAAACAAATGCATGAAGTGCAATCTTTGGAAAGTCATAAGATTCTTAACATACTATACAGCAGAGCTTAACTACACCCTACTCAGATCAAACTGATAGGCTACAAATGAAAGAATGTTTTTGAAATCATGGCCTGCAAACATAAAACAATGACTCGTATAAATAAAGGTATGTCTACGAGTCCCACTGAACGGAATGGTGGTACTCCTATGTGTAACAATATTTAGAGGAATGAAGTCCTAAGGGCATACCAATTAACTGATAAAATCTAAAAGGAAAACTGTCTCCAGAGAAGTTCATTGACCATGCCTAAGACACAATACCCTGCAAAACTTTTATTTAGTAAACCAAAGCAAGTACCTAAGTTAAGCAGTATCTTCATAAAAGTAGTATTAAATGTCATGAGCCAATAGAAAAGCCGGGTTACAGCTTTATGATCCCTCCTATTTCCATACCATAGAGAAAGAAAGTTGTATTACTGGGGCTGAAATGGGTCTACTTCAAGTATATTATTAAGAATAAAGTCAAATACAGATGACAGAAATTGCTCATCTGAACATGAAAGAGCAGAATGGCATAGTGACTACACTGAAGGACTTGCTAAACTAGCTGTTGTAGATTTTCCAGGTTGTCTGGCCAGTAGCTGTACCATGTAGGACCTGACGTTTTGCCAGTAGCTGTAACTGGCATCCTCAGAGGTATAACACAGAAGCATTAGCTGTGTTATACCTCTGAGGATGCCAGTCACAGCTACTGGTGAAACGTCAGGTCCTACAATGCCAAGATCATGGCCACACATCCTGGAAAATCTACAACAGCTAATGAACTTCGGCCGTGAAAGCCTTCAACAACATACTGACTTGCTAAACTCTCTTCCTGAAATGATAAATAAAAGCCGGATGAATCAGTAGCCAAAGCAATGGTTGTTTCCACTAGAAGCCCAAACGACAATGCTGCAGTTCTAATTTTCTGCCAGTTTTTGTTCAAGTTCAAATGGCACATACAAGATAAATGATCTTTGAAGTGCTTAAAAAAAAAACAACACTCCCTTTCAGTATAATCCAAGATGGAAGCCTAATTTCAGCCAACTTCTAAAATTTGCACTCCTGGTGATCTTTCTTTATGAATCATGACATAATTTGATTCAGGGCAGTGTTCTTTCTCCCTATGAATATATAACAACATTTGTAATTCCTGCAACAAACATTCATAATTCCTGCAACACGGACAGCAGCAAAAATCAAAATGAAATAAAGAGCCTACCTCTCTGATTTTCTCAATGGAGGTGGTGAAAATGTAGATGATGACAAGCCACTCCTGCACACTGGGTGTCGAGTCCATCTTCACCAAGACAGTATAAGTGAACAGCATGAGGAATGCTAAATAGGCCATCTGCAGAACACACAATGCACATCCTGTAAACAGACAGCTGTATAAGCATCCTGTGGGGGGGCTGTCTGTTTACACATCCTGTGTAACTTTCATGGATCACAGGAAAATATGTTTCTACAACATGGGCTCTTAGTGATTTTGGGGGCTCTGGGCAAAAATCCAGGATGGAGCCACAGGATCTCTACCACTCCACTGCCACCCCCTCAAGGAGGGCCAAGTAAGGGGCACCCCACACCCTGTGCAAGGTGTGTGGGGGGAGTTGCCAGTGTTGGAATCCAGCAGTCTGAGCCCCAGATAAGACAGGCATGAGTGGTTGTAAGAGGCCTGGTCTCCTTCTTCTTCTTCCTCAGGGGGGCAGGGCTATGGGCGGTCAGGGCCCCTCCCAGACTGGGGCCCCAGGACACCTGCCCTTTATGGCTAAGGCCACCCCTGTTTTGTAATTATGGAAACTGAGATAGACAGGATCCACAGGTTTCACACATTTCAACCACTAAAATGAGCGCACATATGGCAGAAGAGATTAAAAGGTATTACGTGAATCAGCCCTGCGAAGACAAACAGGAAAAAAGAACAAATATAATGTACTGAATATATCTGAGGGCATTTCAGTAGTTCCATATATAATTATGTTGTCAGTCCCTGGAATAAATAGAACAAAACTAGTATAACTGGCTTCTATGTCTTATTAGTGCAACATCTTCAGGCATCTGGTCAAACATAAGAGCATCTCTCAAAACCATGAAGAAAATCACTAAATTTCAAGTAAGCTGGAGCTAGAGCTAATGAACTGAACAGATCCATGCAGCTTGTTCCCTTCAAGCTGCAGCTCCTCCTGAGAATCAGCCTTTGGGAGCAGGCTGGGATATGTCAAAGGCAGCAACAGAGAGAAAAGAGAATTGATGACGATTGCCCCCCTTCCTCGGAGGAGCTGAAGCACTCTTCCACTCACACAATGCAGGGTTGGATATACCGGTATTCCCCTTTTTGCCTACCAGAAATACAACTGGTTTTTTTTTATGTAGGTAGATTTTTTAAAGTAATCGCTTAAAATGCCAGATTTATTGTTTGTTGGTATGTCATTATCTGTGAAGAGTATGTTCATTTTAGTGCTAAGAGAAATGGTTTGTCCTCTGTATTGCAATTTGAATAAATATGTCCACAATATAAACAGTAACTGACCGTGTGAAACCAGAACTTGACAATTGGGGCACTGTAGAATTCGTAGATTTTCCTGGTTCCAGGAAGGTTTCCCTGTTCATTGTTGATAGGAAAAGACTGTCTTTCATCTTGCTTCTCCTTCCCTTTCTCTAAATCATAATCATTCTTTATAAAGAAATACAGATTAAGCATTAACAAATATCATCCAGCTGCATAAGCAACTTTTTGTTATTCACTTTAGATCCATAAGTAAAAAGCAAGAGATATCTACATACCACTTTGTTGTAATACACTGAACAAATAATAATAATAAATATTATTTTAATCCACAAAGCAAGATTATTTATAGTGAATTTTTAAAATCATATTTATTTATTTATTTATTTATCACATTTGTACCCTGCCCTCCCCGCAGTGCAGGCTCAGGGCGGCTACCCTGAACCATGAACCATACCATGGCTTTAGCATTCAGTTTTAAATATAAAGGGTCATTCTGAGGTTACTGTTCTGAACTGGGACTCAAGACATGGGGCAAGTACAGACGATCAGTTTATCCAGTGAGAAATGTCAAAATATTTCAAATGTAATGATATATTTTATTTATTATCAAGATGAGTAACAATTTAGAATGGAAAACAAACTAATAAAACCCAAACCAGTAACAACCAGCAGCAAGCTTACTCAAGGAGTAAAGGCATACAAATCTGGAATATAGTAGTCTGTCAGATCCCTGCTTTAAGTTCTCTCAGCAGAGGCTAGTTTGTATGGATGTGCATTCAGTTGTATCTGAGCTGAAAAAAATACCCAAAAAATGCCTTATTAGTATTTTTGGGTATTTTCTCAACCAAATACAGATCAGAGTTCAATTTTGGCTATTTGATATAGCTATTCCCAGATAATCCTGAAAATAACCTCAGTAACCTCAGAATGACCCTTTATATTTACAATTTAAATTTGAATGCGAAACCCATGGTACAGTTCACTATAAATAATCTTTCTTTGTGGAATAAAATAATATTTATTATTACTTTTTGTTCAGAGTATTTCACTGAAAATATTCGGGATTATCTGGGAATGCCCCGTAGCTGCAGTTAAAGGGCATTCAAAGGGCTCTCTGTTCTTTTTAATGCTTTCAGAGTTAACTCTCAGTTTGGAGAAAGCATTTAAAGGGATTGAGAGCCCTTTAAATACCTTCAGAGTTCACTCTCAACTTGCAGACAGTGCTTAAAGGGACATGTCCAATCTTTTTGAAACTTGGGGGTTCTTTTGAGGAGAGGCCCAAGCAGCTATGCTGCAAATTTGGTGCCTCTACCTCAAAAAACAGGGGGCCCCCAGCCCCCAGGATATTCCTGGATTGATTTCCCATTATACTGTATGGGGACTATTGACTATAATGGTCCCCATGGAGTATAATGGAGGCGAGAAAATTCAGAATTCCCATTAAATCCTGAATCCGAATACCATACCGGCAATGGAATTTGGAAATATAAGGAAATACCAACATTCTTTGGGTCCAACACACCAGAACCTGAAAAAGTCCAGTTTTTTAAGAAATATAAGGAAATACCAACATTCTTTGTGTCCAACACACCAGCACACCCCTACTAATGTGTTCAAAACAACATCCATTCATTAGCAAGAAGATACAGAGATAGCAGTAATTGGTTTCAGGACAAGGCAGATTATGCAGTCTACGATTCTAACTAACAAGCAGGAACTCTGTCTCATGATACTAAACTAGTATCAAGTTTAGTTTATTGTCTTAGCCATTGGCCATAACAACACAAAATACTAAACTAACACACATGCAGAACATAAAACAGACTGTTCCATTGCAGTGAATACAATAAATACATAACAGGCTACTCAAGAATTTCAGAATGGCCTTTGGGTGCATGTGGCTATATGAAGGAGTGGGAAGTAACCCACAAAGTGACCCACAAAGATGAGAAGAAGCCCCTCCTTTTGCAATACAGTAAAGTAAGCAACACACATTTTCCCCTTCAAGTCCTAAAATTGCTGCCATACATTCACTAACCCCGGCCCCTTCAGGTCATCCTTCCTGGAGGGCCACTAGTAGTCGTGAACAAGCAGGGCTTGGCTCAGACCCCAGTGCTTGCTCACTGGACAACCCAACACTTGTTGTCAGCATTGCCACAGCCTGGCGCTAAGTTGAATAGCCCTTGCAGGGTTGCCAGCACCATGATGATTTGGCTCAGCCCACTCTAGGGCTGCTGCAACATCTTGGTCTGCCTCTGCCTCCTTCAAGCATAAAGGGCACTGCAGGTTGACAGATCTCTAACACCATATAACAGAAGCAGAATCTGGTCTTAGTAACTATAGCATTTTAAAACACACTATTCAGTAATTAAATCCCTGGACCTATTCACATTTAGTAAAATGAAATGTAAGTCTAGCACCTTACTAACCAATGAGGGATGTTCTTTTCCAGTGGAGATGCTAGGATCACCATGGTACCATGTGAACTGATGGAAATCTTGTGATTGAGGTACATGAGACATTTCAGCCTTGCTTTTAAATTCCAGCGTCAAAATAGTGGGCGGTAAAAGAATACTCAGAATTACCTTTAAAGAAAAAAATTAATACTGATTTATTCAGTACTCCTACTTATCCTTCCTCTAGTACTAATAATGAGAAGTCATCTCAGCAAACGAACACACCAACTAGACTTTGCCTCTGATCCTCCCACCCAAATCTCTTTCAATCTGCAACTATGTTTGTTATGTTGCCTGGAAGGCTTGGTTTACCCAGAATCTAAGCATGTCAGCCAGTGTCTGATTGGCCCAGTAGTCCACCCAGATTCCCAGCTTTCATTAAAAAACAAAAACAAAAAAGCTTTAGGCCCATCCCTACCCTTAAGTGGTAAATAAACCCATCACTCAATTCAGCCACCACAAACCTTAGGCAAAGACACTACTACTGGCAAGGACAAATAATTCCCAAATCTTTTAGCTCTGGGCGTAACAGCCACAATTAAGAACTGCTAGTAGGGTTGCCAAGTCCATCTTCCACCCCCAGCAGGGGACTTTGGGGGCGTTCCTGGAGGGGGGGCATCCGCAACGTGATGACGTCCCATTGGGGACGCCTCCCGCCCCCCCCCCACCTGCCCGTGCACCGGATCTCCAGAAACGGCTGTTCCCTGCAGTTAAAGTAGCCGGCAGCTGGCGTTTCCCCCTTTAAGAGCAGCTGTGTTTCCCTTTTAAGAATGAAGCTGGCTTTTCCCTGCAAGCTTGCGGAGTTCGCGCTTGGGATGAAACACGGGTTGCACACACTTAAAGGTAGAGAGATGGGTGGCTGTGGGTGTTGGGGGTGAAGCAACTCCTGGAAACAATTGTTTTGAGTGGGGAATGATTGAAAACTCATTATCACAGTGTGAGAACAAGACAGCAAAAAGCAGTAGCCACTGTTGATTTGAAAGTTATTATGATTCAGTCATACATAATAATTTTTTCAATCTGTTTGTTTTGGCACCAAAGAGAACGAAGATGTTGCTGTGGGACAGCAGGGCAGATTTTTTTTAAAGTTTACAGAAGTGCAAGGTACTCTACCTTCCTTACAAAAGTTTTAGAAGGCAATGCTTCCCAAGAGATGATATATGAAGAAACAGGGTGGAGTACCTTGGAAGAAATCTTCACAGGGTACAATTTGTTTCTAGTGACTCATCCACTTCAGTCCTCCCTGTATAACCTTTTGCACATTTGTTTGTTGTGATGAAAAATCTACATGCATTTTCTGTCCTTGTCCTCTTATAACTGTAGATATGGCCAAATAGCAAAAAAGAAATAGCAGTACTCACATTTTAATGCAAGAACCTGAAAAAACATATCTGCATATAGTGAGTAGTTAACTGGCACTCTCCTCATCCAGTGAACCCAACCCACAGTCACATGCTGCCTTGAGCTCAGTGCTCCTGATCTCCACCTACTGGCTCAACAGATTATAAGAAGAAAACAACCTGTTTCTTCAAAATGAGCATTCCCAGCTGACCCTTGCCATGCATTTATGCATACAACCCACAAGATCAACTGGTAGTGCTGGTAGTAATTCTTGTCAATATCAAGATTGTGATAAGTGCTGCATTGTTTACAGGAATTGTTTCTTTGACCACCAGGTTCACCCATGTTAGAACATACCCAGTGATGAGCAGAATAACATACGGGTAGGACGAAACATCTGAACTAGACATAAGACCACAGCAGATCTTGTCCATGCCACCCTGTCTATAATATCTAACTTCTGATTCTAGTGGAGGGTTTTCTCATTCAATGACTCTTCTTCTTTCAAGAAGGACTTTTACTTCAAAAATTATACTATCAAATTGATGCAAGAGGGACCCTTGATGTGTAGTGCCACTTTGAGGTCACCATATAAACCAGTTCCTTATTGGCACCAACCTTAATACACCTACTTTCTACATGTCTGACTATGGCACTGCTGAGAGGTGAGTTACCTTAAGCCAGGAGTTCTTCCTCATCTTCAGGCGCCCCATCCACATGTCGGTCAAGAGCATCTGTGTGCATGTGTGAGACACAAAAGGCAGTAAACCCGCTGACACAGCCAGCTTCAGGCAAGTTGAATTACTCCAGTTCTTCAGCTGATATGTCAGCAGCTTCATGGCCATCTGCTCATTCTGTTTGAATGCATTATCCAACACATCTAGAGCAAGCTGCCCAAACTCACTGTGAAAACAAAAAGAAAGACAACTACAAACTTTAGACTACTGGGTTCAGCAAAAATAACCATGGCAGGTAATATGCCTTGGTCCAATACTAAACAGATTTCATTCGTTCCAATGGGCATTGTTTTGAAGTAACAGGAGTACCTCCACATATGACATCATGATTCCCCTACTGTACTGAAAAAAGGCAAATTTTCTAAAACAATTCTATACTTTTTTCTTGCTAGCCTCCTTTTGTCTGGTTTATTGATGATTGCTTACAGTGCCCATGGCAGAATTCACATTGTATGGCTACACTCATACACATTCCCAAGCTTCTTCAGACCATTCAAACCAATAGTTCAGCACACAGAAGAAATGTGCTGATAGCAGAACTGGGCTTACTAAAACTCATGGGAGGAGTAAAGAGCTCAAAAAAGGGGGGAAGGTGGATTGTTGAGGGAGATATTGCCAGCTGGAAAGCAAAACAGCTTTAATCTCAGCCTTAGGTTATTTTCCATCTAGAAGAATTACCAACTTGTGACATGTCTCTAGTTTAGGTTAGAGGACTCTAGTAACTATAAAAACCAAGATTAATTCCATCTTGACCATTTTGTCTATAGTTCAAGCGCTCAGCTTCTGTCTGCACTTGAACATTTGAGTCAGCTCCCAGCAGAACTATATCATTTACAATGGAACTGCTGTGCTTGTGGCTCATGCCCACTTTGGTTGATACAGTGATGTAAAGAATGATGATACCTGATCTACCAGTATATAATGCTTGAGAGTGTCCCCCACTGCTGGCAGACCCAAAAGACGCAACTGTTCCAGTCACTGAAATCCCCATGTACAAGTCACAGAACTTCAGCTGATGGAGTCACTGACATATATGGTACTTCAAAAACTAGGGATGGGTCACTGAGAGTTGCGTGGAAAGTCTGGTGCACACTGGAGAGAACGCCACATTTTAAAAAAAGAAGATTGGTGCACACTGGAGAGAACGCCACATTTTTAAAAAAGAAGAAGATATTTTGTGTTGCCCACTAAAGACAGCATACTTTTATAACTCTATGAAAACAGTTTCAGGTGGGTGTCATATTGCTCTGTGGTAGAAGAGCAAGATTTGAGTCTAGTAGCATTTTAAAGACCAACAAGGTTTCCAGGGCATAAGGTTCTGACAAAGGGAGCTTTGACTCTCAACATCTTACACTCTGGAAATCTTATTGGTTTTTAAGGTGCTCCTGGACTTAGACCTTGCTCTTTTATAAGTCTGTTTAAAGCCACTGAGTTTTGTTTCTGTGCTATGTGTGACAAATGCTGCCATATTAAACAAAACTATTTAAAACTACAATACTAGAAGCTCAGATAAAATGTATACCACAGGTTAGGAAAAGTACAACTCGGTATTTAAAAAGGCTTGCATGGTTAACGAACAAAGTAATGGAAGCAGTAAAAAGTAAGGAGGATTCCTTTAAGCAGTGGAAGGCTAGTCCGAGTGAGGTAAATAAAAGGGAGCACAGGCTTTGGCAAATAAAATGCAAGTCAGTGATCACAGGCAAAAAGGGACTATGAGGAACATACTGCAAAAAAGTATAAAGACTAATAATAAAAATGTCTTCAAATACATTAGTAGAAGGAAACTAGCCAGAAAGGCAGTGAGACCCTTGGATGACCAAGGGGTAAAAGGATTACGAAAGGATGATAGGGAGATGGCAGAGAAGCTGAATACTTTTTTTTGCCTCTGTCTTCACTGTTGATGATGAGAGGTGTTTGCCAGCTCCAGAATCCCCAATTTCGGGAGGGGTATTGAAAGACCAGAGTTGGATTGAGGTGACAAGAGAGGATGCCCTATGACAGCTGGACAAATTAATAGTCAGAGCTCTCTAGAGCACCTTTAAAGAGAAAGCCATGTATATTTTTATAGGACGTACAAGATTTTACCTTTTATTGAATTCATAGCTATTTATTTAATTATGGTCCCTTTTGAGAAGTGTCTCATTTAGGCTGAAATTGATATTTTGACTTGTGTTAAGAGTATTTCTAGAATTTTATTGTCTGTTTTTATTGTCTGATTACTGTTTTAATTTATCCTAATAATATATATAAACCATCTCGATTGTAAGAAACAATGTATATAAATAACATAATTTTTTCCAGTAATGAATAGTTTTCTTCTCATTAAGCTGGAACCATGAAAAGCCACTTGTTAAGTTTCCATTTTGCCTGACCTTGGTAATCCAGGCTAACTTGATCTCGTGAGAGAAGAATCAGCCTTGGCCAACTCTTGGATGGGAGAGCACCAAGGAAGTTCAGGGTTGCTATGCAGAGGCAGGCAATGGCAAACTACCTCTGTACTTCTCTTGCCTTGAAAACCTTACGGGGCCACTACAGCTTGATGACACCTTTCACCACCACGTTTCCATTCCAGGACAGCACAGTGACTTATTAATTTGCTTGTTAAACCAAACAACTTCCTTCAGTTCTCCAAGCACATACATTTACACATT